TCCACAGGAGGACTAGCTAACATTTATCTTTTTTATTTTTTTAAAAGAGAATATATGTTTATTGCTTTTAGAGAGAGAAAGGGAGAGCGAGACATTAATAAGAGAGAAACATTGATCAACTGCCTCCTGCACATTCCCTACTGGGGATCAAGCCCACAACCGGGCATGTGCCCTGACCGGGAATTGAACTAGTGACCTCTTGGTGCACAGGGCAACATTCAGTCAATGGAGCCACACCAGCCAGGGCTCTACCATTTGTCTTGAGAACATGTATGTAATGGTTGGTATTTGCTTGGCCATATAGAGGGTGATATTTCTTTCTGCCTTTGCAATCTCATTAGCAGACTGATTGCCTGTGACACATATTACAGTCTGGTTTAATGTTTATTCAATAATAAAACTGTTCTTTCTTTTTTACATTTGTGGAGAGGATTTTCTGGGTTAGCAGGAGATTTTAAAATACAGTTATCTGTAGGTGGTGGGTGTGAATGAGCTGACAGGACAGAGGAGGGAATAGACTTCTCTGATGTCTTTTTATATAGTGTTGCCTTTTGAACCTTCTTGATGGATGTAAGAACCATGTTAAAGGATATAAGAGAAAATTATCAAGGATGGAGGGAAATGAAAACCCTAAAATTGAATACAAATTAGCAAATGAATCTAAAACCTAATACCAGTTAACAGCATATTCACAAAAAGAAAAAAACTATAACTCCTATGACATATATTGTAAAAATGGAAAAAACTTCAAAGAAAGTTTGCTGTTCATAGTATTATTGGCTAGCAAACTGAGATATTTGGAAACTACTCTGTGCTTGCTGTAGGATTGAGTGATTAAATAAATTCACTGACATTGTTCCAACTACAGTTCTCCCTGTGGGAGGAGACACAGGAGAGGAAGAATGCTCTCTTGTGGGAAGAATTGGAATTACAAGGTATCAGTATCTATATATATAAAAGCCTAATATGCAAATTGTCCCCTCGGGAGTTTGACCAGGAGACCTGGAGTTTGATCTCTCACTATGATGTGCGCTGACCACCAGGGGGCATCACGGAATGAAGGAAGGCCCTGGCCGGCAGCCGGAAGGCCCTGATCGGCCCTAATCACCAGCCAGGCCTAGGGACTCCACCCATGCACGAATTTCATGCACCGGACCTCTAGTCAATTCAAGGCCCCGGCCGGCAGCCGGAAGGCCCTGATCGGCCCTAATCACCAGCCAGGCCTAGGGACTCCACCCATGCACGAATTTCGTGCACGGGGCCTCTAGTCAATTCATGATTTAAAAAAAAGTGCATCCTTAGCTCTGTCCATTGAATAGTTCTAAAGCAATGATACCATTGACAACAAGGGACACAACAGATGTTGTTTTAAAATACTTTTCTCCAATAAAAGGAAGCCAAACTGCTTGGAAAAATGGCTTATTCTAGGACTAGGGTAGGAAAATGACAACTTGTTGAAAATACTAAAAAAACTGATGAGGGCATTTCAAAAGGACACGGAACCACCTTGAAGGGGCTCCCACTGGCCAAATTTGAGCATCTAAATAAATAATTAAGGAGGCTCCAGGAAGGGCTGGGTCAAAGATAAAAATATGATTGCTCTCTGTACTCTGACCTCAATGGTGAGTTATCTAATATCTGTGTTTTCAGACTCTCCATGTAAATACATACAGGCTCTCAGATGGCAAGGTGTTTTGCTAAAGACCTCTTTAGCAAAATATATAACCTTTAAAATAGAAACATAACCTCTTAAAAAACCTAAGACTCATTTTAAAACCACGATTTATAAAACACATTTAGACTTGGATTGCCGAATAATAAACTTTGTGAATGTAGGAAATAGTGTTAGTTTACTAATCTGGCCTGTTGCTATTTAAGTGGTGAGATCATTGGTTTTTTGAGTGTTTTTTTCTATTGATCCTTTCTTGTTCTTCCAAACTCTACAAGCTCTTGACAATTATTTTGGGGTGGGAGGAGGAAGTGGGTAAGAAAACAGTTTAGTTTGGCCTCCATGGCTGCTTCTGTTTCCAGACAAGGTCTGGGCCCGGAGAGGGTCTGCCTTGGGCCCGCTGGTAGTGTGTGGGTTCTTGACTTCATGTAGGAAAGATTTCACAAAACGAGTCCAGGTGATCTTGAGAGTACGTTTATTAGAGTGCAACAAAGGAAAGGTTTTAGTGAGTCTAGTACGTTTATTAGAGTGCAACAAAGGAAAGGTTTTAGAAGAAGCAACAGGAGTCAGAGAAAATGGCGGCCTTGGAGACAGGTTCAGGAGGTAGGCCCGGGAGGCGCTGCTGCTGCCCACTAATCCCCTGGTTGTAAGTCTCGTGGGGACCCACAGAGTTTAGGAGAAATACAGCAGATACAAGGCGTGGGTGTGCTCTAGTGAGAGCCTGCTGTGGGTCCTTTGTTTTGAGGGCTTTATTTCTTTCTTTGGCTGGTGGAAATCCTAGGGGAGAACTCAGGGGAAGGTCTTAACAGAATAATTAGCTTTTTAGGTGTGTCCTTTAATATGCTAATTTATCAAAATGTATGCATAGAGGGGTCAGGGTTATTTTCTGGTTAGTTTTATTAACTTTAAAAAAAATATTTTTATTGATTTCAGAGAGGAAGGGAGAGTTAGAGATTGAAACATCGATGATGAGAGAGAATCATTGACTGGCTGCCTCCTGCACGCCCCCACTTCAAGCTGGCAACCCAGCATGTGCCCTTGACTGGAATTGAATCCCGCCGGACCCTTTCCACTGAGCCAAACTGACTAGGCTGGTTAGTTTTATTTTTAAAGAATGTCATGCCCTGGCCAGTGTGGCTCAGCTGGTCGGAGCATTGTCCTGCACACCAAAAGGTGGAGGGTTTGATTCTCAGTCAGGGCTCATATCCAGGTTGTGTGTTTGATCCCCTCTAGGGGAGTGTATGGGAGGCAATCTATGTTTCTCTCTTACTTGGATGTCTCTCTTTCCTTCCCTTTCCTCTTAAAAAAAAAAAATCAAGAATGTCATTAAACAGGGACTAAAACCAAGGCCTGTCTGGCCTGGGATGGTCTGGAATGGTTCTGTGATTACACAATCCTTCTGAGACTTTCCTAGTTCCTTTTAGTTGGAGTTAGAAATAACTATCTTTTTTTCCTATTTCCTTACAAATATATTGCCATAACTTACACCTTTAATTATCAAAGCCATATAGTTTTTTTCTAACTTAATTAGAATTCTTAATTCTTAGATACCTTAATTTTAGTGACAACAAAAAGTAATTAGTATTTTTAGATTGGCAAATTTATGAATACATTTCATAACTCTTAGAAACAGGATTTGTTTTTGTTTTTTGCATTGGCAAATACTTACATTTTTAAGAGGTATGAGAGATAACATGAACTTTTTCGGTAAACCCAGTCAAAACAAACATGTTTTATGCTAATACCTTTAAAAGATATTAACTTAAATGATCTATTTGGATTCTTAGTGATTACTGCATTTCTTTAGTGGGCTCAAAAGTGAGCTATTTCATTGCCTAGTGTCCTTGATGCCTTTTACAAGGCTGAAGAGGTGGGGGAGATACCAGGCTTGAGGTTTTTATTTTTAATATATTAAAATAGCTGCTTGAGGTTTTTATTTTTAATATATTTTTATTGATTTCAGAGAAGAAGGGAAAGAGATAGAAACATCAATGGTGAATCATTGATCGGCTGCCTCCTGCATGCCCCACACCGGGGGTTGAGCCCAAAACCAACCAGGAATCAAACCGTGACCTCCTGGTTCATAGGTTGACCTGCAACCAGTGAGCGTGTTCTGATTAGCTTTATTTTTAAAGAAGGTTATTAAAGAGGAATCAGGACCAGGATGGTCTGGAATGTGTAAACCATTTGCTTCTAAGTGTCTTTGGTTAGGGGAGATAAAACCTTGTGACTCATTAGCTGGCTGTAAATTGCTCAAACTGTTTGGCCTTGTTTAATTATTTCATCTGTTCCTTTATTCCACTTGTCAAGAAATCTGCCTGGCTTCTTACTATCCTGCCACTTTCACCAAAATGCCTCTAGCCTTTTCACATCCAAACTCATCATAAAGATGTTTCTCTGTATCACCACTATGACTGCCATTTAAAGCCAAGATGTCTCCATGTTTGTTTATTTTTTGCTTCACAGACTTACTTCTAAGCACCTGTGCTGTGGGGAAGGGGAGAAACACAAGGCCCAGTGAGAGCCCGGCCTCTCTGTGTGATGGTTACCTCACCTGGGTGGGATGCGTCTATGGGTCTGTAAAATGAATGACCGGCACCATTTGTCCACTAAGATCCTTTTGTGCTACAAGCCATGATAATGCCCCAAATAAGATTACAGGGTTTTAGACTTTTGGCATTTAAAAAACCAGAAAAGTCAGAGGTTTGGATGAATGGAACAGAATATCAGATCTCAGGGGTGGGGGCAGTGGAAGGGGACAAGAAGAGATTAACCAAAGAACATATATGCATAATCTATGGACACGGGCAATAGTATAGGGTGGGGGCTGGTTAGATCTCAGGGGTGGGGGCAGTGGAAGGGGACACGAAGAGATTAACCAAAGAACATATATGCATAATTTATGGACACGGGCAATAGTATAGGGTGGGGGCTGGTTGAAGGGGGCAAAAAGGGAGAAAATGGGAGACATCTGCAATACTGTCAACAATAAAAAAGGAAAAGTCAGAATACTCCTCTCACTTGCTGTGTAGATTGTATCATAAGCTAAATTAAGTGTTAATGGAAACTAGAGAATAATCCTGCAATAAAAGGAGACTCTCATGCCAGCCTGTGGCTCAGTGAGTGTGGAGAAGTTAAGTGGGCTGTGGGCAGCTCTCTAAGCATAATGAGGAGCATACGAACCACAACCAGGGCTTTCTGCATTTCTTTCTCAGTGGGAAAAATACCCCTGCTATCTGAACTGGCCGGACAGTTCTATAATAGAGTCTATTTGAGAAAAGGTAGGATGAAATATGTGACAACATATCAAAACTGACATATAAATACAGCATTTGAATGGAGAGACAATTCACAGCATTTTATTCGTTAATCCATTTCATTCAGTAATGCACCATATTGTTCCCGGCACCCTTAATACTACTGTCATTATTTCCCTTGGAGAGGACCATGCTTTTATAGAATCTGAGTTGGATTTCCATCCATTAACTCTAAAATATTTTACCTTACCAAAAAGCAACCCCTAATCAGCTAAGATGGAGGTGGTATGGGTAAGGTGTTTTAGTCAAAAGGTGGGAGCACAGGTATACCAACAAGCAAATTTAGTACCTGGCTTAAACCAGATGGCAGAGAGAGAGGTAGCTGGAAATACTCTGCCAAATAGGTTAGTCTGCAGAATTGGAAAGATAAAACCTTTTCCTACTATCTACTCAAGTCCAACCAGAGAATATGAGATAATGACTGACTAGAGGGTCGTAACTTTCCAGAAAACAGAAAGGTGGAGTAAACAAGCCATCCTCAGACAAGAGTGAGGCTGGATGTCAGTGCAGGGAAAGGGTTGGAGTTCTCCTTTAAGTTTGCTTTTGGCGTTTTGGTCTATAAGCGATCAAGATGGAGAGGGAGGCTATCCCAAAGAGGAACGTCTGCAGGAACCAGAGTAGTTGAGCCCGACCATTCGTGATGCCTTTAGACCTTAAAAGAAGAAGAAACAATTTTAATATTATGGTTTCATAGTTATTATCTTCTATTTTTAAAAAATGTACTCTTCTATCTACTTTCATTGGGTTTATCTTGCCTTTTCTTCCAGCTTCTTACCTCGAATGGTTAGTTCATTTATTTTCATTTTCCTTGTGCAGTTAGGACGGTACACTTTTCCCTGAGAAGCAGCCTGGCTACTGCCTAGAGCTGTATCATAAAACTGTTTCTCACATGATTTTGATGAGTGGATGGGTTAAATAGCACTGCGATGGCTTCAGAGCAAGTGTGTACCCAAGAAATATTATTTTTATTATGAAAACACAGTAGTAATAAAGTACTACATTTTCCACTTTTAGAAATAATACAGCAATAATAGAGGTGACTGTTAAACTTGACTAGAAAGAAAATCAACTGCAAAGCAATTTGGCATCGCTATAACCACCTCTTTCATTACAGCATCCTTTCTGTATACGCTACATGAAGTACAAATGTAAAGAGAATCTTTTCTAGTACTTTCACACAATAGTAGCCTACACTGGCATACACTGAGTGACGTTTAATCCAGGGGAAGCAGGCTTGCATTGCACCCCAGAATTATTTGTGGGGCTTGTAAAAATAACATTCCCAAGTCTGAAGCAAGGCTGAGCAGGCCGGGATCTTGTGGGTCTGGAAACCAGGCTTGTGTATTTTGAAAAAGCTCCTCAGGTGACTCAGTTGTAAAACTCGGACTGAGAATCATCAGCCCTGGTCAGGGACTAAGCTCTTTTTTCAGGGGATCATACACAGACATTTCTATAAAAAATAAGAAAAATCATCTAAATTAAGTAACTAAATAACTGATTAGCTATCACAAATGAAATAAATTCACTCATTAAATATTTATTGAGTACTCCCTCTGGGCGAGGCCCAGTATTAGGTGTGGGGATTCAACTCTACCCGGAGAATGCTCTCAGTCTACAAGTCCATGAATTATTTAAATGTAGCTACTCTCAAATTAGATACCAAGAGCAAAGCAACAAATACCTACTACAAACACTTACTTGCACAATACCATGGCATACAAGGACTCTCCCACGTGAATCAGCCAGGCAAGCCAGTATCTGGAACAAAAGTCAGCCAGGTTTAAGGTGATGGTTATCTGCTGATGAAATCTAACCCAGAAACCTTCATAAAAAAAAAGTGCTTTACTGTGAACTAGCACCACTCAGATATCTAAAGGCCACTGCAGGCCTCCCAGTCTACAGTGGGACTAGAACTGCAGTGTCCGCGTCCCACTTCCGCAGCCCTCCTTACCCATTGTGCAGGAGGGTGTGATGATGGTCCACCAAGTACTGAGTGAAGGGGCCCAGGGGCCCGAGGCTCTGGTAAGGAATACTCTGAGGCCAGAAGACAACCCACTGAAAGAGAACCAGAGGCACAGAATACCTGTTAGGTCACTGAAACCAGCAAATGTTTATTCTTGAGAGAGGCTAGGAAATAATCCTGATTCTACAGTAAGAACAGACCAAAGTAACTGTGCACTAAGACATCTGAGGTGCCACTCTTGGACTTCTATTTTCTAAACGCTGTTCTAGTGGGAGATTTATTCTGAGGAAACTATGTGGTTATCAGGCTCAGTGCTCAGGCTGGGTGGCTTCTATTCTTAATGAATTCCATTAAAACATGATTTTATACAGGTTATTAACAAATTTTAAGAGTTTATGTGCCCTGACTAGTTTCTTTGCTGCAGAAACTATGGCTTGAGGCAGATCTCCATTTAATTTATAATCCCATCGCCTCCTTTCACTTTTTCTATATCTAAAACTGGGACTAATCCCCTGCACAGAATTGGAAAATAAGTGAGATCAGGTTTGTGACGTGCTAATAGCAACCACTTAATCACATAAGGTTTTTGTAATCGTAACCATTTTCCCTCAGTCTCTGTGTTGTAACCTCTGTCACCTTAGGCTTTTGAGAATAATTAAGTCCCAATAGGTCCAAATTTATTGTCCCATTCATATTCAGCCAAGAGCAGTACTACCTCTCCAGTTATGTTGTTACACACCTAAAATTTAAATAAAGCATAAAACATCACTCCATTCTCCCAAACCAAGGGGAATGGGAGGGGCAGTACCTATCCACAATAACCCAATTTGAGGCCATCAAAGCTTTCCTCCATCTATATTCTAACTAATCAGAGATGCAGAATCATAGGACAGAAATGCGCCTTTGAAAATTTTCAGTTCATATGGGGAAATCAGGATAAAGGTGGTCCGGTTTCACAACACACACTGTGGACACAACAGACGCACTTTTAATCACCCATCTCCAGGATCTACCGGGCAATATCCAAATAGTCTTGCCTCCATTCAAAATTATACCAACTCAGTCCCCAACTTACTTTTCCAGAAGTTTTCCCCGTTATCTTTTATAAACAAACTGACATCCCCCACTGGGGATGTGCCCGCAACCCAGGCACATGCCCTTGACCGGAATCGAACCTGGGACCTTTCAGTCCGCAGGCCGACGCTCTATCCACTGAGCCAAACCGGTTTCGGCAACAGACGCACTTTTAATCCCCCATCTCCAGGATCTACCGGGCAATATCCAAATAGTCTTGCCTCCATTCAAAATTATACCAACTCAGTCCCCAACTTACTTTTCCAGAAGTTTTCCCCGTTATCTTTTATAAACAAACTGTCAAAACAAAAATCGCCCCTCTTCTCATCAGAGATCATCTGCCTTGGTTCCACATCTACACCATAACATTTACATCCTCTCTATCCCTTCTTACCAATTAAGTCTCACCCATCCTTTAGCTTTATCTCCGTTTTCTAAGCAATTTTAACTGCCCCAACATTCTGCTTCGGAAACCCTACTCTGACTTGGCAGGCCGTAAACTGGCTTCCTGGGTGAGTTCTGAGACTCCGGTAAATCGTAGTAACCTTGGAGCTGAGGGAACGCCACGGCAGGAACCCTCCTGAGTAGAAACAGACCTGTGACCCAATAACTTCCGCTTACTCCAGTAACCTAGGCAACCGCCTGGAGCGCAAGCGCAGAACCGCACTCCCTCAGAGCCCCTCACCCTATGAGGGCCCGCCGGGCGGAAGCAGGTGCCCCGCCCCTCCACGCCTCACCGCGAAATATCCCAGCGCCAGGGCTGTGACCAGCGAGGGCAAGGGTCTGGCTGCGCGGAAGTAGGCGGTGGCCGCCCTGCCGCCCTCCGACTTCGCCACCACCATCTTGACACAGAGCCGGGGTGTGG